CTTTCTGGTCCTGAATGCAGCTGTGGATCAAAATGAAGTATTGCCCAGGTTGTGTGTTGGATATACTTTAGACTTTTCCCCTCCAGAGATAGACAAAAGCACATCAGCCTTGCTCAGCTCAGATTAAAGGAGTTATTTCTGAGCACTGGAAAACTGGAAACCAACCAAAATAGGTAAAAAGTGGGAACAGCCCAATGTGGAGAAAAGTTTCTCCAAAGCCAGAGCAGAAGTTACTAGCCCTGTCTGCAAACCTGCAGAAGCAGGGCAGGACGCAATTTCCCCAGCATCATCCTTTTGCCCTATGGCTATTAATTGCTCATAGACTGCATCTTAGGGTGGAGTCTTCCACTATTTCCATGAGATTCAATTATGCAGGGAAGTGAAGAATGGTTTGGAATTATTTAGTAAAGGGGAAAACTTCCCAGTACTACAGCTAGTGCTAAGAGATCGGGTTTTTTAAGTCTAAACACAGTAGCAATTGCAATAGCTTTATTTATACATCTATTCTTAATCAATTACACAATCTTACGAGCACCGACTGCAGAACCTCTAAGAATGCAGTAACTGCACTTCCTAAAGGAACAAAACCCTCATGAATTGTCATATTGAAATCAATACCCAAAGAACAGGAAGATATTTCACAGTATCAGCAGAGGACTGAACAATTCAGGTGGTAAATAAATTACATTGTCCCCAGGAGAGACAAGAAGGACATAAGAGAACTCCCAGTGTGTGAAGAAGCAGGCGAAAAGTTACTTAAAAGCATAAAATCACTACAAAAGGAAGGCAAAACAGTGCAAGAACAGGGGGACAGAAAGAGTTTTTTTTGGTGTATCTATCCTGTCGGGATATCCAACAGGCACCACAGGACTGCCAGACTGGTAAAGCCCTTGACACTATTAAATACAGAAATACAGGAAGAAATCAAACTAAAAAGGAGGGAAAAGTGGTTAAAATAAGAAAAAAAAATATGACACATGAGGTCGTGTCTTTCTGAAGCATCTGCCTTTTGCAAATCCAGCAAGCCATCACCTCTTTTTAGAACATCTGCTTCTGTCATGTAAACTGCAGCCCGTGCAGGACAGAATGACAGTGTTACCTTACTGTTCAGTTTCCTTTCCCTCTAGCGATTGTACAGTTCTGGCAGTCCACTTGTGTGTCAAAAAGCAGGAGAGAGCTCACTGCTGGCTGTAAGTGAGCAGGAGGGCTGCCCCCCGGCACCACGGCAGTCTATTTCTAGCACCTCAGGCAGTGGAACGGTTTGCACATTTTTGCTGAATCCAAAGAAGAATAAAAAGGCAAATACAGCAGTAAGCTTACTGAAATCAGCAAATTTTGCACTTTCCCAGGAACAATGAACTCTCTAGAGAAAGCTGGCAATGACTTGAAGAATTGGATCATGTCAGGGATCACAAATTCCAACTTCATTGGAAAAAACACCTAAATATTTCAAAATCCCATTCCTATTTAATCAAAAATAGAGCTAGATGCGAGCGATTGGAGCTCCTGGTTCTGTCATATGTAAAAGCACGACCACCTACGCTTCTAGTCCAGCAGAGATCGTGTTGTGAGACACTAGAGTTGACTTGCCTGCCAAGATTTGGGTGAAAGTACTCAGTTTAACACATATCCTGGTTTCGACCAGAGGGCTTTTAAAATCCCTCAGACTGGTAGCTGATCTGGGCTCCCATCAGCCAAATTCACTGCTGCTTGTACAGCCACCATTACCTTCTGTGGAAACGCATCACTGTGAACTACCACGCACTCTGCTCCCTGCTGCGTCCCTGCCTGTTTGGGCCTCAGAAGGGCAGTAAACATGTTGGCCGCTACTTCTAAAAGTGCCTGCAGGATACACTGCACACCACTCCAAAGAGGGCACACAAAAATTGCCATCCTCGTTCAACAACACTTTACAGTAGCATAAATAATCTTGCAAGTGGAGGGCAGCAGCTACTCAGGCCAGCTGCAGATCATCCCAGTAAACTGATGCTATTTTTATATTAATTTGTCTGCAAACGAACATACCTTCACCTCTTCCCCTGTGATTACTGCCATTTAGTGGTAGCTGAGCGCTACACCACCTGTAGCTCTACCATCGCTGCTTCCACTTTCGTATAAAGAAATCCAGAAAGGAGCTTTCATTTGAAGAACCAGCTTAATACCAAGTTATCTTCAGTTAAAAGTCATTATTCCTACTAGAATAGGAACGCTATTATGCTACTGGTCTGTCAGACACTTTCAACAAATTTCTGTCAGGTTATTGACACACGCACACGCATGCTCTCAAACTTATTTAAGCAATTATTAGTTAAAAAAACCCAAAACCAAACCCCAAAAGCATTGTATAAGAGCCTAGTCATGTTCTCTGCAGGTGCACAAGTGACAGAAGGTGACACTTCTTAGTTCAGCACTAAGTAAGAATAAACACTAGTAGAACTTTGGGACTCCACTCTTGCTGACAGCCACATGCTTCCCTTCAAAAAGATGCATAGTCTTGTATCACGCTGTTGCATGAAGTCAAGGTAAAGCATGTATGGCTCTTCACAGGACAGGAGCTTGCACTGCTGTATTTTTCCAGAGCCAAAATTCATAGAATGGTGTTGTGCTGAACAAAAATTAACCCATGAGAGTAACTAGAAAGTGTTCAGCACTAGCTCATCACAAGCTGTTACTGGAATTATTGTACCAAACACTCACTTTGCCAAAGCCATGGAGCACAAGTGATGGCATAGATTAAAACTCCAGGGCTTTTTAAAAATGGAAATATTTTCTTTCACGTTATTTTTAAAAAAGTAATCCTGGCTACTACAGCAAGGAAAATAAACACACTTTTTCTGTGGCAGGTGAAGTAGCCTAATTTTACCACAAGGGGTTCTGAAACTACTCTCGCTTAATTTACACTGCTGCTATCAGAGACCATTTAAGGTGTGATGTTTAAATACAGCCTCAAGTCCACATTTTTTTCCTTCCTCTGTAAAAAGTTGTCACTTTTGTCATGCGTTTCTTGCTATTATTGGCAAGTCTCTTCACCAACAATATTCACAGTCACTGACTCACTCAGTGCTCATCATTACTGGTTTCAGTTTTATCCCAATTTGAGGAATGGGAACTTTTCTGGAAAGTCAGTACATGGACCTCAAAATGAACTTAGGAAAACAAGTAGTTTTGTCTCTGTAGTACAGCAACCTGTCGGGACAGTCATTGTGTCACCCAAACACATCAGTCTGACCTCAAAGTCCACCATGACAGGCCTTCTGACGCAGACCTTCACAGAAGGCCTTTGTGGGATCACAGAACAGCCCGGGTTGGAAGGGACCTCAAAAGATCATCTGGTCCAGTCGTCTGTGGGAAAGGCAGCCTAGATGAGATTGTCGAGCACCCTGTCCAATTGCATCTTGAAAACCTCCAGCGACGGGGACTCCACCACATCCCTGGAGAGGCTGTTCCAGTGAATGATGGTTCTCACTGTAAAAAACGTCTTGTATCAAGTCAAGTATGAACATATTGACATTATTGACACAAAAATCCCATTTGAACTGAAAGCATCCACTCTTGTGTTCCTCAACAGTTATTACATTACACAACCTGTAAGCGGCTTAGGAGATCTAGTCCCATAATCACATTATTCTCAACCCAGAAAGCTCTAGAACAAGCAAAGAGGACCTCATTGTTGCCGCTGAACTTCTGACTTGTGTCAAGCTAAACTGCACTGCAGTGGCGGCAGAAGAAAGATGTCCCGTCATGGCACCACCAGTCTAGGAAGATCCAGTTCACTGAAACTTCTAAGGGCAAGAAACAGGCTGGTGGTTCCCACCCCCCCCCCCATTTTTAAGTGCTGCAAATAAAGTAATAAATTCACATTTTAAAGGTAATGAAAAGCCAGATCTAATTAATCAGCCAAGAAAGCCCAAACAAGCTCCACTTACCTGTTTGTAACTTTGGAAAGATGGTGGTTTATCGGCAGCAAAAAATCAGACTCAAATAATGAATCCTTGAAGTTATCACTAACTTCTTTCCCTGTCTTGAAGGGAGGACAAAAGATTCTTAATTTATAAGGCCTCGTTAACTTACCTCTCCTGGTACCTGAGGTAATTTTGGCATCTTTACGAAGCACTGCACAGGGCTAACAGTCCTGAGGCTTTTAAAGCCACTTCCGCCAAGCCTTCCTCCTAAATATGTTTTGCACTTAACAGGCGTTAAGAAATCCTTTGTCCAATTTTGCTTAAAATTGTACTAAGTCTTCCATCTGAAGGACTGTTTATCACATTTTCATAGTTATAGCTCTAAAAATCAACTGACCCTTTGTTCATAAAGACCTTTATCATTCAATTCTCAGCACCAACGAGCAGCTTAATGCCTTTGGAGTGGGGGGACAGAGGAGTATTCTGCAAGAGACAGTAACACGTTGTTTCACGGACACTAGTGGTGGCTTCACAAAGACACTTTCTCATGTCTGGAGCCACACACCAATACAACTCGGGATGGTTCGTTACCATCAGTGTAACGAATCAGTGTACGTGTACCTTTTGAAAGTAGAAGCAATATTCAACCGTTGAGGTTTGCATTCCTCCTCCAGCCACTTCTCCAAACTGGTGGAATGACAGTTGTGTCAAGCTGTTATTTCTTCATGTATTATCATGTATTTAAAATCTACTCAGAGATTAGCACAGAACTCAAAAACGATTTTCTACAAGGAATTGCTGTAAAATATAAATTTTAGCCACAGGAAAAAAAAAAAAACAACAAAAACAACCCTTGAAAATGCTGGAATCTGGTCCACAAAACTAGTATTGAATCTGTGGTTCTTTTATTTAGGGTTGAAGAGGGTGGAGCTGTAAAAGGCAGGAAAGCAATTTTTTTTTCTGAATACTTGAAAAAAAAAAAAATTTGTTTGTTTGTAACTTCCCTCAATAGTTGCCGTTCCAAACAACCCAACAAAAAAAGGGCACCGGTGCTGACACACCCCTCTTCCACATTCAGAAGACGAAAAGGAAAAGCTTTTATTTCCCTTTCTGCACTTGGCTTCTCTTTGCCTGTGCCACCCCGGAGCTCCCTGAGGTCTGGCTTGCCAGGACGCTAAGGCCTGCTGGCCTCTGCAGCCTTTCCAAACTGTAGCACTCCACTTTTTCTTCACTGGAGACTGTCCTGGTGCTTATGAGGCGAAATCCATCTTTGAGTAAAGTGTCAAGCAGCAGGCCTAGCACATTAGTACCATTAATCAGCTTTCTGTTATCGGGCTTTATGGACACATACCTAAAATAAGAAAAAAGCAGTTACAACACACTTTAATTACTTCTTGAAGGATGGAATCAATCTTTTTTTAAAAAACAAACCAGGACCTCAGATGGTGCAGGTTAGCACAGCTGCACGGGTTTACAGCAACCAAGGTTCCAGACATGTTTTTCCTCCTCTGAGGACAATTTAATATAAGAACAGTAATTTTCAGATCACCCAGTTGCATGTTGGTTGCATTCTCTTTCACCCCCACACCAAAACTCCCTTTCTTAAGAAAAAGCTGTGATGATAACCTCCACCTCATTCCATTTAACGGAGGAGAGGTGAATGGCATGCTCCATACACTGCTGCCACATTGTTTCAGGTAAGATGGAAAGGGCAGTGCCGCCACATTCACCGCAACAGCATCACTTTTCATTACACGGGATCTCTCTTTACAAACGGTGACATTTATTGCAAAGTTACCTTGTACAGCAGGTCTTGTGGAAACAAGTATGAAAATCATTTTCACATTGCCTCAAATGATTTGACTTGATATAAAGTACAGTTTAAGAATCTACCCAGACATTTCGAGGAACAGAAGTCAGGTAAAAATACTACTACAAAATACATAAGCTGATAGGGGTGAAACTGTTCCACAGTTCACAGGGAAGTACACAACATTGATGGACAGCACAAAAAAGGCGAAAGAGTCCGTGTCACCATAAAGACTGAGTTGACAGAAATTCAGCAGCAACATCATCAAACTCAACTTGTTTCATTACTCAAGATAAGCTTTTCTATTGATCTGCAGAGGAAAATTTTTACCAAGTCTGAAGAAATAAAGGAAAGAATTACGAATATTTTCCCCACTATTTAAGTTGCCATAACCTACTCAACCAATTGTTAGTCCATTAAAATTAGTAATACATTATAAAGTTAAGGTTTTGCACATAAATATATGTTGCTTCGCAAATGCAAAGTGTTTTTTCTTTTACTTGCTTGGCTAAAGAAAGCTAAAAGAATTATTATTTTTTTTTAATAATAAAAGACTGCTGTGTTTATTCATATATTCAGAGAGAATAACCCTTTTGGAAATATTTCAATGAAATTTCTATAAAATCCCAGATGTCCTAACAGCCACAGAGGACAAATTAGCTTACATTTTCTTATACAGTAAGAACATGTCTCCATACAATAGAGACATCAAGCAAAAGCTTGTTTAAAAAATATAAGTTGTTATTACAATATGATACTGCTATCACAAAAATCACTGATATACAGTAATCTTAATAAAAACAGAACCTGGCTCTGAATTCACAGAAAACCCATGTATAGCATATAGTTAATAATCTACCCCTTCCCCCTCCTCCCAGTAAAAGGCTCTACAAAAGCTTTCCAGTCCCTGAATTGCTCTCTTAGTTCCACTGGTGTTTTTAACCCTGTTTAGCCATTCTCTTTTTCCTTTTTTCCATATAAAAGACTTTCGGCCCATGAGCTAGTGGAGATTTTAGGCCTTCCCAGTACTTCACTTCTTATTTATTTTGTTTCCTTTGCTTCATTTTACTCTATGTTTTTCAAGTCCTCTAGAAGGTCACTGATGCCATGAAATTGATTCTGTGATTCTACGAAATTCTAAAGCCTGGGAGAGCAAGTGAGGAGGAAAGGGCAGAGAGCGAGAAACACCCAACAGAACTCAGGAACAAACATCGAGAACAGTGTTTTAGAAAGCTGAAGAACAGGTAAATCAGTGTAACAGAAATTAAGCTGAGTATTTCGGAACTAGAAAAAGATAACGTCGAACTAGCAGAAAGAAGGAAACATCTTTTTTCTCAGATAGCTGTCCGATAGTTTCTTTAACATGAGCTTTGCTGGCACATAGCGTGTACTCATGAACCAGAAGTCACAAAGACATTTCCACAATGAGAAGTCACACTAGGGAGAGTACCTGGCCACAAACTGGTCACCAGCAGAGTAGTCAGTACCACACTGAAAAACCATGTCGTGATGAGAAGGTCTTTCCAAAGGAAGTGGAATGAGTGGTTTCTGAGAAGGAAAAGGGCTGCTCCAGCTCTGTCCTGACTGCAGCCCAGTAAACACCGTGATCTGTTCGGCTAGTGTCTCAACAGTGGTACTGCAGGAACCAAAGATGCGGAAAAAGGCCTGCATCTCTTGGAGAGAAAAACGCACTTCCAAGATCTCCAGCCTCGGCTTCAGCAAGTGTTCCTGGCTCAGGAGGTCAGCCAGAGGGTAGAGCCCATAGAATTCTGCTTCTCTCTGCAGCCTCTGATAGTCTGAGAAATCAGTAGGTAAGGAGACCTGGAGGGTCCTCAAGAAGTCCATGATGTAACTAAACAAAGTTCCATCTCTGTCCACAAAAAACTCTCCATTTGCCAGTTTAAATTCCCAGTCATCACCGTTCAACATCCGTGCCAGCCTGGACTCAGGGAACTGCTGCAAGGTAGAAGCTCGGGTTACAAATCTCACACCTCCCACGCTCAGAACGACCACCTCTCGATTACTCATCGCTCTCTCAGCCTCTCAAGAATTGTAACTCTCTGATCTATGCGTTTCTGACTTGATCTTTCCTAAACTGCAAAGTCTCTGTTGCTGCAAGAACCATTCAGTGCTTTTAGCAAGTGTTTGGAGTGAGGTGTGGAGCAGTGACAGGATTCCCAGGCAACAAAGATGTAAATATCATGTACAATAGTTTTGTTTGCACGGTTTGGTTGCTTGGAAACTTTGGTTCTTGGAATTTAATGTTTTATTTTTGAAATGAACAGCTTGCAAGGACTACTGGAAGACAGTGAATTGACTGTCACAACTTATTAAACCTTGAGAGAGGCCAATGAATGTCCCCGAAGCATGGCATGCATTACGTTTGTTTCCCGGAAATGTCAACTGAATGTTTCCATTCTATATATTGCTGCTCACAGGACCACTGCAAAAAGAGGTTAGATGTGCTCCAAGCAATATATTTCAGTATCGTACACTCTTACAGAAGGGCACTTCAGAGAACTCAAGCTTACAGTTCACTTTAAATCACTGTTATCCTACGGCCAAGTCAATACACTCAGAAAATTAAACTAATTCCTGAAACAAGGTACACAAAAGTACAGTAACAGTGGAAGAGCCTATATATGTTCCAACGCTAAAGCACTTCCAAACACCAACAACATCCATACTCCTGTCACGTTACGCACTGTTCCAAGGAATCACCCCATCATTTTTCCTGGCTTTTGGAATTACAATCTGGAAAGACAGAGAGGGACAGGAGAGAAACTGCTCTACCTGCCACCTCTGAGGGGCTAGAGCCCGAGCTGCCTTCCTGTGGCTGACCCGGGCGTGCCTTTCACCGCACTGAACTGTTTACATTAAGGCCACTTTTTAAGACAGTGTGGCTTCAGAGAAACACGGATCTAACAACACAGCTCAGTTACCCCAACAATTTGATGTTGGAAAAATAAACTGCAAAGTACGTACTATCTTGCAGCTTGTTCTTCTCTTATCAACCTCAACTGATTTCTCTTTACCCCTAGCATTTATCCTTGCCCTGCAGATACATTTTTGTATAGAACATGTGAGAGACAACCTATATCTACAGCAATCTGAATGCACAGGATAATTACAATATTTGATTATGCAAAAATACATATCTCTATTTCAGTGAGAAGTAACATCCTCAGATAGAAACTGGTTCCAGAATGCGACTGATGCACTCTGTATTTTGCTGTGGACAGGCAATCCTCAAGCCTCGCAGTACAGCGCTTTTCTCAACCACAGCTGTCCTTCCTCTTTTCAAACCACCTCCCAGTTAGAAAAAAAAAATAAAAAATAACTATGACCTTTTAGGAAGTCACACACTTTTTATCTTATTCTGCAGTTACATTAGCATTAAACTAAGTACACAGTTTGGCCCTATATTTTGGTAACAAAAATGATTTACAGCTAATAAGTTTCCCATAATCACCACTGAAAGAAGAATCCAGAAATAATGTGGTTTTCAAAGCTCCATCTTCCAGTTTATCAGCGCTCAAACTATGTGAACAGCGTGAATGTTTTGGTAACATTTTTAATCTTTGAATGTTTTCACTGGAGGTCTTAAAAAAACAATTAATTTTAAGAAGTTCTGTGTTTTCCTCACCAGATCTCTCTTAGTTCTTATACTTCAGCAGGGACTTCACAACAGTTTATACTTGCACACAAACTGTGCAACATTATCCAGTACAACCAATGTATAGTTTTTACACTTTTCTCTTAGAAGTGAAGCTCCATCTGTCATCTGTTCCCAGTAAAAGACTGCGTGATCTGCTATCTCCACTGTATCTGCCAGATAGGACAAGCTAATTGTAAAGAACTGAGATTTCCAGCACTGGAGATTGTCAACGACTGACTCCACGAAGGACATTCTGGTGAGACCAAGAATAAGCAAGCAAATAAGAGAATTCACTATAAATCTGCGCGAAAAGATTGAGGGAATCTTGAATTTAAGAGTGTTGTTTTCCTGAGGCAAGGAAAGTTTGTCCACATCAACTAGTTTTATTCCATTCCACTGGCTGGTATCAAAGCTCTTCATTGTAGGGCTGATGTCCACACTGGAACAAGGTAAAGGGGTTTCTTTGAGCACCTTGATTTTTTCCCTGAACTCCTGCATCTGTTGCAGAAATATAATGGGTTCAGACACCTCTTTGAAGGCCTCTGCAATGTTAAAAGCCATCCGTTGCTCTTGCAGAATTGTGTTCAGCTTATTGATTTCTGGATCGTAGGCCTGCATCACCGCAAGCTTCATGGTCTCAAAGTCAGAGAGAATCTCATTTCGTTTCTGCTCCAGCGTGTGCTGCAGCTTCTCAAAGAACTCCTTCACTTTGTCAGAATCTTTGGTCAGCATCTGCAGAGCTTTCCTCTTACTGGTTTCTAAGGTATCCAGCCGTGAGAGGGCATCTCCACAACGCCAAGTTTCAAAGCCCTGAAACAGGGTTTCAAAAGCCCGCTTCTCCTGGGAATAAGCTTCTTCAATAGAACAGAAAACGTGCTTTGTATGGTCACCGCGGGTGGCACAAACCCCACAGATCAGCTGCATGTCTGTCCGGCAAAAGATGTTAAGGGGTTGCCCGCTGTGCACTTTACACACAGGCATTTTTGGAGTTACTTTGATTTTGTTATACTTCTCCACGATACCTTTCAGGGAATAGTTGACCTGCAAGCTGTTGACTCCAGTAACAGGAGCTTCCTTCCTGCACGTGGGGCACTTGAAAGGGGACGGCCTCCAAAGCACATTCCGCACGTTTCCCTCAAGAATTCCTTCCAGACACTTTCTGCAGAAATTGTGTGAACAGGGCAGAACACGAGGATCATCAAACAGGCTACAGCAAATGGGACAGGTGAGATCTTCCTCTAGGAGCTCCATCGTGTCCTAGGAAAGAGAGAAACATGGTAACAGAACTTATAAAATGTATTTCTCCTCCCGGGAAACCATGCAAAAACCGATCTCCACCTGAGACACAGGTCAGCGAGGAAAAGTATCCTTTAAGACAGAGCCTCAGCTGGGTTTTTGCAGCCGATCCAGTTAGCTGGGGTATCTGGCCATCAGATGGCAGGCACAAGAACGGCTCAGTGTTCGGGCAGATCCATTTTTGGACTCTCAACTAGGAATGCTGGAAAAGAAGGCTTGCCAAAGCCAGCAAGGACTCTGAATGAAAATAACTCACTCCCTCATAATAACAGTTCAAGACTTACATCTTTCCTCACCGATGCAATATGCAGAAACTGGATTTTCGCAAAAGATACTCAACCAATACGCCCTGCTAAGATTTGATTACTCTCTACTTGCTCAACTCATCCAAAGCTTACAGTTTCAAACCCCATGCACCACTACTCTAAAAAGGCAATATTAAAGCTGACAGAAAAAGCCTGGCTTCAGAATTTCTTCAGCTACAGAATATGTGATGTGGCTCTTTGCTCTACCTGCAAAGCCAAAGGTGTCACCACTCACTTAAAAAGTTAAGCTTTTCCCTTGCTCCTGCAATATTTTTAAATAACCAAGATGTTATTGTTGAGCGATTCGGCACAAAGTGAAAACACTTCAAAGAACAGCTGCCCATAATCCTTCATAATTCATCATGAAACAAAACTGTTAACCATTTTTCCTCATCTGCGATCTCTATTTTCAGTTCCATTCTCATAACATTCATGTCTCAGCAATTTCTGTGGACAGGATCTACAGGAAGAGGATTTATCAAGTAATCCTTTCAACTGGAAAGTCTCAGTGAAGGAACTCAGTGCACCACCCTCCCAGTGCCTCTAACCAAATTCAAGTTCTCAGATGCAGACACCTTGTAACTTACAGCATGCTCTAAGAAAACAAATAGCTAATAAAGACCAAAATGGGTGTCAGTTTGTATTAGCCAACACTCTCAAACACTTAGTTTTGAGCTATAATTAGAAAGATGCTTCCCTTGTATAAATTCCTTCCATATTGTACTATATATATTCATACACATATGTAATAAATTTTCTTTTATAAATTAAAGGATGCATCACAAAAAAGACCATCAAAGCACTGCTGTGACAGTGAGGCACACGAATGAGCTCTTTTCATTAGTTTTGACATTATTACTAAGGTTTCTGTTCCCTCAAAGAAATACAAAGTGGAAAACGTGGGAGCCAAGAAGAGAAGCTGCAAGGGAAGATCCGTGCTGCACAGGACAAGAGGAGCAGTAGAATCAATACCAGTGACCCAAGGAAAGCAAAGATCGCTACAGGGAAGAAAGGCGAGGGCAATTCTGAGTTTCTTTCACAAGAGGACCGATACAGTCCCAGCGAGACTTTTTCACAGTAAAGGCCATTGTTGAGAGGCGTAAGCAAACCTCCCATGCTTTTCCAGGGACGAGGAGGAGGAGGGGTATTTTCTGTGCTAGTTGAATAAGGAGAGTTTGAAAAAGTTGACAGCTTTTCTACTCAGCGTCAGGACTAAGGTCATCAGGCAGAAGAAGCCACCATTACAGCTAGGGACAAAGCCCCAAAGAAAAGGTCTAACGACTCCATTTACCACCTAAAGTTTCCTACAAGACCACAGATCCCATTCAGAAACTTCATTTTCTGTGAGAAGAAAGTGATTTTGAATCACCCTTCAATGCCAGAACAAGCAATGTTTCTCTTCCATCCTCTTCCTACTGCTAAAATGAATGCCGTGACGCGCAGAGGGTGATTTTGCCCCTATACTCTTGAGTTTTCCTCTTCATGAATAGCTCTCTCTTTCCAACTTGTACTCACAGCTTTTAGCTACAACAGCAGCACAAAGATCAGTTTTGCACATGTGTTAAGAAGATAATAACTACAAAAGACAGTTCTCCATCTTTTAGTAAATGGAAATTCATAGTGCAGAAAACATTTGCTTGGTCCATCTCCTTCACCAGGGAGGATTTTAGTCCTCAGTTAGGTAGCTGGAAAAGCAGCTTTGCACGCCTGACAGTGAGGACTGCAAGCCACTGCAGAAAATGCTTACTACAACACGTTCCATCAAAATTGCAGGACAAACACTGAAGACTTTCATGCTCCTAAAAATACAAAAAACATACACAAAAAGGTTTCATGATCCAAATAAAACTGTCCTGTTGCATTCCAACCCCACTTATCCAATTAAATAATTATGCTTTATAAATATAACTGAATTTCAAAACCATTACATGACATCATTAAAAACCTCGGATGTTAAAAAAGTAAATGGGCAAGTCTATGAGCTTTTTTTTCCCCTCTTACACCAGTAACACCAAACCAAAAACACTGAAAACTTGTATAAGCGGTTGAGACAGCTGAACTACTGTCTTCTTTAGGACATTAATTTCAGAGAGTAAGTTGTCTGTGGGTCGAAACATCCCTTTGTACTAGCAATTTGGTATTTGTGTGAGGAACTACAGCAACGCTTCAACTTCTCCATTGGGAATTTCTCTGTGTAACTTCTCTGTGTAATTTCTCTCAGGTTTGGATGGCCCTGGAATTCTCCACTTGTAGCACACAGACCAAAAGGCACAGCAGTTTCTTCTTTCACCTGAGGAACATCAAATCTCTGGGTACAAACCCAGCAGATGTCACCCATCAGAAAGAGCAACTTGCACAGTTTTATCATTAGGAAGAAGAATGGCAAAACAAATTAAACCATAAACACAAAAACAACCACAGTAGCTTTTTCCCACACTCCAGGGAGAAATTCATTTAGTATGCCTCTCAGCACAGAAGTTGGGTTTATCAGCCAGCAGCAGGCTGAAAGCAAAACCAAAATTTCACCAAGCATCAAACAAAATGATAGCTCTTGAATTACAAATTTCCTGCAATGGCATGTAAGTATTCTAAATAAAACTTGACTGAGTCAGGCTGCATTTCCACAAGCAGCTGAGCTAGTCAGGAGAGGTCTCATCTCACTTCCTTCACAAGGACCCTGGTCCTTGTCAGGACCTCCTATAAGCAATTTCACCAGCCTTCTGTCAGACTGGTGTGTGGCATCAGCCCAAAAAAAAGGTCCGGCGCAGATAAGGCAGGAGAAAGGGAGATGGGAGCTCCTCCTTCCAGCAGAAACGATCTTAACTCTGCTCACCCCATCGAGAGGAAGCGCAGCCTAATGGAGGATCAGCGCAGACATATTAACATGGACCGACTGACCTCCAGGTGCAGTAGGTACCCAGGCGGGCAAAAAGAGGAAAGTGGCCATGCTTTAAACCTGTTATTTCATGGCCAAAGTTTTTTCCAGGAGTACCAGATAGTTCCAACACGTTCAGCCTCCAGGGAGCTAGAAAGGCCTGGAGAAATAAGCAAGTCTGGCTCAGCATATGACATGAATACCGTTTCATTGACACGGCTAGCGGATCTGCCGAGCGCTGGACACGGGGGCAGCGCCAACGCACGCCCCTGTGCTCGCCTCCTTGTCCCTCTGCCCAAAGCAGGAGATCCCCCAGTGCTTCTGGTTACAACCCCGCTCCTGCCAGGGGGGATCCCCGACACCCACCTAAACGACGGCACTCCAGCCTGCCCGGCCCTGGCCCCCAGCCGCCGG